CCCCAAAACCCCAAAACCCCGTGTGTCTTTAATTTTAATATTAGGTTGAATAAAATTGAATCATATATTATTGACAGAGTATTTTTCAATATCTTAAACTACTATTCCACATTTGACACATTTAAATTCTTTATCTTCACTTTCTACCTCATCGAGTTTACTTTTGATACAATAATAGCAGTATATATGCTTGCATTCTACAGTTTAAAATGGCATACATATCTAAGTAGTCCCACAAATACCACAATAATTGTCTGTATTCAAATCTTTTTCCTAGTCTAACTCAATAAACTGAGTGAGTTTATTTGTCATCTAGAACATGCCTGTGAATTTACTAATGTCAAGGAAAGGCAAAAGTTGTTGAATAGAATTTCCAAGAGCTCCCCAGACAATTTATCTACTGATATACATGAAACTTATAAATCTCCTTTTGTTTTGGTCAACCACACTCATATCGATTCCTAGTATTCTTTCTGATATATTTCTTTTCTGAAAAGAAATGAAAAAAATGATAAGGTTCAACAAATTAAGGACTTTGTGAGCAGAATGAATCAGATTTGTCATCTTATAAATGTAATACTTTAACTTAGCTAATTTATCTGAGTTATTTCTTAAATTACGAGGGTCACCCCATCCATTTTTAGCAAAGATTTCATTTAATCTGCTGTGCAAATAGGGAAGCAGTACTGTAAATATTAGTAGAAGTATTTTCTATTTTTGGGAAGAAAAAATATAATCTAGATTTTGCAATTAATTTCCAGGAGTAATGACGTCCTTCAGAATAGTGTATCTGTAATATATGTAATCAAGCAATAGTTGTATTTCTGGACAGTAATTTGTGATTGCATATTATGGAAAAGCCAACACTAGTTGCCTCATTAGTATTTATTTGCTTTCACTGTCTATTGACTATGCATCTATTATAATTTCAACTTAATGACGTTTTACCTAACTAATCAACTCTGTTAAGTTTTTGTTATTATTCTGACATTTAATTTTTAAATAGAATTATATCAAACCTTAATCTATAAAAATTATCTTGATGGGGTTTTGGGGTTTTGGGGAGATCGGAAGAGC